CGCCTTTTAACGCCTTTTTCAGCCCCCCCCCCTTTTTGTTGTCTCAAATGGTGAAAAAATGCCTTATTTAGGCCCCCAACACTTGTTTTTGTTTGAGAAATGTTGTTAAAAAAAGTGACCAGTTTTTCGGCGCGGCCCCCCAATCAAAAGATACATCAGGGGGTTGCCAGAAGGGGGATGTGCCCCCTTCTGTTTGGGGGTTTGAAGGGGGGCGGAGTCCCCCTCATCGCCAAGAAAATTTTGGACTTGTGAGAGGCTATAAATGACCTCAGATTGATCATAAGGTAACGTGTAACCAACGCTGAAAAGCATTTGACTCTATCTCAATCCATTGAGAAGTTGCAGCACTTTGAAATCAATTATGATGGAAAAAATCAACGCAAAATAGTGATTTTTGGCAATTTTGAGATGTCCCCTCGTTGCCATGGTAACAGAAAAATTTAAGCCTGAGCATGTTGTTGCAAGGGCAATGGTCCAGTCAACATTTGTGCCAAGTTTGATTAGTGTTGAAGCAGTTTTTATAGTATTATAGCAATTTGAACTTGTAACGGGAGACTTTTCAATGAAAACAGCCATTTTTCACAAAATGCTCATGAAGAAATGGGTTAAGTAACAGCAAAAAAATAAATTACCGATGATCGATTATTAAACCTTGTAATCGATCATCGCCGATCGGTCCTTTAAAATTTTCGATTATACTCGATCATCGTTTAATCCCTACTCATGCTTATGTTCATCCTTGAGTAAAATATTTTAATCAAATAAATTCATTATATCTATGAAATTATTATGTCTCAATTCCAATAAAGGAATGAATAAGCTATGTATGGGAACAAGAGAAGTTGGTCATTAATAAAAATGCCAGGTTTTTTTAATGACACTATATATTTATATTGTAACCATCTTTAGTTAGTGTGTAGAATAATTGTATAGATATCTTCTTTGTTTGAAGTCAAAACATGTTTATTTCATATTTACAAATAGACTGTGTAGCAATTTTCTAATTTCAAATTTGAGCATAGGTCTAATGTCTGTAAACTAGAATGCCTCACTGTCAACTATTAACCTCATGGTCACCAGTATGCTTTCTCATTCATTTTAATGAAAATTATTGGGTAAACCAAAGCTGGCTTTAATTTAAAGTGTTGTTATAATACACTTAAAGGAATAGGAATGGATGGATTGATGTCTGTCTAATATAAATATTCATGATTTAAAAAGAGGTACCATTACAGTTTTTCTGTTGACATCAACCCTATAAGTGAGACATTCGTGTTTTAAGACACTATTTTTTACTTGAGAAATAAGTTCATGGGTGCCACCATTTTGGCGTTCTGTCACTCTCGCGAGACAGACGAGACCGAGATTGTGACGTGTTACACCCACTTCCGGTATAGGTGTACACGCTGGTACAACTGAAATATATCTTGATGAAGAACTTATAAATCTTATTGCGTACATTATATATTATTTATGAAAACATCATATGGAACTGAATTGTTTTAATTAATTAATTGAAGACGCCGAGACATTAATTATCATTTGTCCGATTTTCAAGCTTGCTGATGATTCCACCACATGATTTAAGCAATGACTGCTTAATTTTCAAAGATAAACCATCGCACTATGAGAAACTTCTTCAAATTGACGATATATCCTTTTATTTTGTACTTAATTTTCGATAGACAAGCTGTCCGAATAGGGTTTAAATCCGTGGTACAATTAAAATGGATAATGCACAGTATTAGACATAAGTAGTAAGAACCAGCAATTGTGTGAATAAATTATGCAAATTAGATTTTTGAGCAGCCAATAAAAATGTTTTGCCTGCAGTTAATATTAGGCTACGATTACGATGTAAATAAATACCACGCAGCATCATACGTTGACAGACATGTTAACAATTTACTTTTCAAAATAGTTGCTTATATTTTTGAAATGTGTACATCAATTATAACATATGTTCACACCTTTTAATTTGAAAGTCAGAATCAAACTGCAAAAATTTAATTACATGTACTATTAAGAACAAGTAGGATTTTTATAATAATGATAATTATCGCCGTTCAATAATTAACAAGCCAAATATTCGTTGGTGCGTTTGTTTATTTAATTGCATTATTTGATTGTGAAACTTTTGTTAAATAATAACATGTGTATTTATTAAATCTGTGAAATATTGTTTAATTACATTAAGATGAGACTTTAATGAACATAGTAACGGGCATCACTGGCCTGAAGTTGTGCGACCGGTAGATTACATTTGTATTTATTTTTTTTATTTGTTTCTCCTTTACCTCCTGTTTTTCATTACATTTGTATTTATTTTTTATTACACAAACATGGCCGCGCCTACTGATTTGTAGAAATCGGTGATTTTAGCGATTTAAATTTTTGTTCTCATTCGTTTAATATCATTATTTGGCGGGAAGAAAATTTGCAGATTTATTATTTTATAGTATTCTTTTTCTGAAATCATGTTTTTATTTCTAACCTTGTCTTTCCCTTTCAGTAAAAGCAAGAAGATAAATAACCGATGATCGATTATTGAACTTTGTATTCGATCATCGCTAATCGGTTCTATAAACGATCAATTATCGATTATACTCGATCATCGTTTAATCCCTACTGAATATAATGTCAACTTCGTCAAGAAACGATTGGTTAGCGCGAAATCGGAAGAACTCGGATTTCCCACTTAACCAATCCATAAAGATTTCGATGAAGTAAAAAGTGTTTATGATAGGATAAATTACCCCCCCTTACCAAAAAAAGGGCTCTCTGGTGAACATTGCGGCAAGTTTGCCGCAAACATTGCGGTGAGTTTGCGGCAAACTGCTTTCAGCAATTATTTACCATGCAAATGAGGTTTGCGGCAAATTTGCCGCAACTCATGAGGTTAGCGGCAAACTTGCCGCACAAACTATAGGGGGAGGTAGCTTCTGTTTGCGGCAAATTTACCGCAAACCTCATTTGCATGGTAAAAGTTTGCAGATGTTCGCCAAAAGTTTGCGGCAAATTTGCAGCAAACTTCATTTGCATAGTAGTTTGCGGATGTTCGCCAGAAGCTTTTGGTAACACTGCGGCAAACTTCATTTGCATATTTGCCAGTTTCAGCAAATATGTTATGGCGATATTTTGGCAAACATTTTGGTAAAGTTCTGGCGAACAATTTTTTTCAAACATTGGAATAATAAAAACTAGCTGAATTATAAGAAAACAAATACATATTGGTTTAACACATTTTTTTCAATAGAAATAAAAGAAATATTACAAACATATCAGTAGAATAAAATGAAATTTGATAAATTTGTAAAATAAAGAAATTAATTCCCCAAAAAGAGATAAATTTTACACACATTTTATTAGCAACTGATTCTAATACATATTTTGACTTTCAAAAATTTCCACTCTTTAGTTTATGATGCTATCATGAATTGTTCATATTAACTTAATAATCAATTAAACAAAGAGCCGTTTGGAAACCGGGGTGATCCTAGATACAGAAAGTATATTCTTTTGAAGTTTCAGGGGTTTATGTCCCAGACAAAATTCAAATGTGATAATTCCACAACAATAGTTGTAAAATCCCACTTTAAATAACAATGTTATGGGCCGTACACATTTTTGCTTCAAGGTATGCTGTGACCTAGACCTCAAGGTAATGACCCAAATGTTGCATGTGAACATATTGTTCTCAATAGGTGATCATTTTCGGTGAAATAGTTTGTAAAACCGACTTCAAATAACGAATTTATGGGCTGAAACGAACGATTTTGCTTCAAAAGTCATGTTGCGACCTTGACCTTCAAGGTATTGACCAAAATGGTGTGTGCGACACATCGTCTCAATATGGTGATCATTTCTGTGAAATAGTTGTAAAATCCGACATCAAATAACCAAGTTATGGGCCGGCAAAAATTTTTGTTTAAGGTCATGCTGTGACATTGACATTCAAGGTAACGACCCAAATGCTGCGCACGACACATCGTCTCAATATGGTGATCATTACTTTTAAATAGCTTTAAAATCCGACTTCAAATAACGAAGTGATGGGCCGGACATGATTTTGTTCAAGGTCATGGTGTGACCTTGACCTTCAAGGTAGCGACCCAAATGTTGCGGGCGACAGGTCGTCTCAATATGGTGATCATTTCTGTGAAATAGTTTTAAAATCCAACTTGAAATAACAAAGTTATGGGCTGGACACGACTTCAGATTCGTATGTACGTACAGACAGACAACCCAATGACTATATGGTCCGCCGAAATTTTTCGGGGAGCATATAAACAATGTTTGACAAAAGCTATTTTTCAGCACATGTTGCAGTATTTCTTAGCAACCATAAATGGGAAATATAATATTGTTGTAAAAGCTAAAAATCAGAAAAGTTACAGTTTGAAATCTTCTATCTGGACAAAAAGTTTCATTCAAACATGAACTGGCATGGAATAACATACATACTTCGACATCCACTTAGACAAATCACTATTAATAACAATAAATACTAACAATAGCGTTATGTGTTATGCAAAAATAGACTAGACCAATAATGGCTTTCAAAATTGTAAAAATGAATCTCAAAAATATATTTTGGTCTTAAACAAACAACATATTTCATGGACATAATACTTCAGATTTAAACTCATATGTTCATATAACATTATGATTGTGAGCAAAACAATATCTGACACGAACAATTATGGCTTTCAAAATTGTAAAAATTAATCACAACAATATATTTGGGTCTTATACAAACAACGAATTTCATAGACATAATTTTTTGTTTGCTTGTTTTGGGTTTTTTACGTCACATCAACACAGTAAAGGTCATATCGTGACGTTCAGGTGCCCTTCCTTGCATTATTTCAGGCACGAACGGGTATCTGAGTAGAAACCACTGACGTTCAGTTAAGCTAGCTGGATAGTTTTCCTCACAAGACAGATTCCAAAGTCCCTGTCGGGATTCCAACCCACAGCGGTGAGGGGCAAGTGGTTTTGAAGTCAATGACCTTAACCACTCGGCCACGGACGCCCCTCATGGACATAATAACTAAAGATTTAAACTAAATGTCTTTAGTCATGTCATATAACAATTGCAAGCAAAACAAAAACAAACTAGAGCAATAATGGCTTTCAAAATTGTAAAAATGAATCTTAACAATATTTTTTGGTCTTATACAAATATAGACATAACTATTAAAGATTAAAACTAATTGTCTTTAGCCATGTAATATAATGATTGCAAGCAAAAACAAAAACTGACTAGAACAATAATGGCTTTCAAATTTGTAAAAATGAATCTTAACAATATATTTGGGTCTTATACAAACATAAACATAATAACTTAAGAATAAAACTAAATGTCTTTAGTCATGTCATATAGCGATTGCAAGCAAAACAAAAACTGACTAGACAATATCGTAAGTTTGCATGAAATTGGCTTGGCAATTTATGAGATGTTTGTTTTAAAGATCAAGTTTACGGACGAAAGATAGACAAAAGCTCGCAATGTCACTTTGTTAGCTAAAAACGCACTACTTTACTCTTTCACTCTTCCAAGTTTCAGTGCCCTGGCCATTGTGTATATTTTGGTGTTGACTGCTTTGGTGACTAAGCTTCTCGCCATATTTAGTTTATTGGTGCAGTACACTGAAAAAAAACAAGGTTTATTTTTCATTTCCATGTTACCATGTTTATACTGGATAAAACTAGAACTATCACTGAAGGTGAATGATACCCCAAAACCCCACTTTGAAGTAAAGTGGCAGTAATCTATTAGTAAAGCCCACCTACAAAATGAAGAAAATAAACACCAAAGGCAATTATTATTTATTGCTGGCTTGATTTTGATCTGTTGGGATGAACATGTATTTGCATTGCAAAACCTAGATTTATTTACAAATGACAAGTGGCTCATAAATTATATTATTTATCTAACTTAGTTAAGAAATCAAGGTATCATGTTAAAAAAAACACCAAAATAACAAACAAGAGCGATCAGTGATCACATGTGTCGCCTCATGATGGCCAATTTCATGTTGGGACAAGTTTTGTGACTGACAGACAGACAGACAGTGCACAACTAGACTTGGTACTGATCATTTCCTTTAAAGTTTGGATGAAATTGCACCAGTAGTTTTTGAGGAGTAGTCCGGACAAGCTTTTATGTATCTGGCAACACACAGAAAAAAACCCACCTTTTCATCAAACTTGCCAAAATATCATTCAACCGGAAAACCTGTGCAATATGTGCAAGGACTTGAGCAACAGATCAATCCTGTAAAGTTTCATTGAAATTGCATTTGTGGTATAAGAGATGTAGTCCGGACAAACTTAAAAAGGGCCATACCTCTGACAAAAATCATTGAATTGGAAAATGCTGACAATATGCACAACTAGACTTGGTACTGATCATTCCTGTAAAGTTTGGATGAAATTGCACCAGTAGTTTATGAGGAGTAGTCAGGACAAGCTTTTGTGTATCTGGCAACACACAGAAAAAAACACCTTTTTATCAAAGGGCCATAACTCGGCCATAACTCGGCCAAAAATCATTCAACCGGAAAAACTGTGAAATATGCACAAGGACTTAAGCTACAGATCAACCCTGTAAAGTTTCATTGAAATTGCATTAGTGGTATAAGAGAAGTAGTCAAGACAAACTTTAAAAATAAAAATTATTAAAGGGCCATAACGCTGACAAAAATCATTGAACCGGAAAATGCTGACAAAATGCACAACTAGACTTGGTACTGATCATTCCTGTAAAGTTTGGATGAAATTGCACCAGTAGTTTATGAGGAGTAGTCCGGACAAGTTTTGTGACGGACGGACAGATAGACAAGACGACGGAGAAATGATCCCTATATGTTGCAACTACTCCATAGAGGCGACACAAAAATGAACCATGCTGTGAACATGACAGCTAGGTCAGAACTCAAAGTTAAAACCAGGGTAATTCAAATAACCATTAGGATTTTTCTTCTAAATGCCACTGTTTGAAAGAACAATGTTGACTAACCAGTCTTACTTGTATGCAAAACTCACTTTTTCAATTATACATCAATAACAGTGGTTAAAATATACACAGATACTTTTCTGACAAAATTCTAAATCATTACTGACATGATGACTGAGAAAAAACTTAAAATGTGTCAATAAAACACAGATGCCCCACACGCCACTGTTCTGTCAATCTTATGACTCTAGGTCAAATAGTTTTTGGACTACATGTGCCACAAGTTGAAAACTAAAAATCAACAAAGGGCCATTATTCTGTTTAATTTAGTTGCAGCAAAAATTCCTTCCTTTACTACCATCTACACATTAAGTTTGTTAATCCCTGGAAGTTTAAGCAAAATCTGCCATCCGGTTTAAGAGGAGTTGCGTTCACAAGATTTTGGGACAGACTGACAAGTGCCACGCTATATGCTCCCACATTGTGGGGGGATAAAAATAATCTTATTTTACTTACATGTTAAACTGTCAAATCCTCTTTTGTGCCAGGCAGTATCTACTGCACTGGACATACCACTGCGGGTTTTACAGGGAAATTTCGGGGAAAGTCTTAATCTGCTGTGAGGTTTTTTAAGATGTGGACCACTTCTGATTTGTTTTCAACCTTTGACTGTCTGTGAGAACTGTAATTGTAAAAATATATTTCAAAAATATTTTCTGTATTTTAAAATTCATCTTTAAACGTAATATTGACAAATATTGAAGATTGAACACCAATGAATTGACAATAACATATTTATAATTAATGTAACACAATGTTCATACAGTTACTAGAATAAGTTTTGTTAATTATTAATGCTAATTGCACGACTTTTTCCTGACCAATTTTAGTAATCACTTTTATGAAATAATTCGGACTGCATATCGATTATTCATCACATGAAGATACATCAAATTGTTTCTATTGAAGACGACCCCAAATAGCATTACAAAATTATCACAGTATTATCATTTAATTGCTACACCATGATTATAAATATATATAAAAAAACCTCATAGATTTCAACTTACAGTTTAATAGGCATTTTTGTTTGATGCATTGTTGAGGATTGTTAATCACAATTGTATAAATCTGACCATTCACTGTCATTTGTAACTGTAGCATATGACTGATGAATAGACCTTGAATAAAAAAAAAATACATATGTACAAACAGTATATGGAGAGATATTCATATATTGAAGCAACTGACATAACACAAACAGTTCAACAACACCAGTCAGTTTTGCATAGTCCTTTACTTTTCGTAAATAAACAAAATACAGAGAAAACAAACTACCAGTACTCACTTTAGTGCTGGCAAACATCTGGCAAAGGACATCCTCCGAGATCTTGTCAAATAAGATCTTCCATGATGTTGTGTTCTGATACCATTGATTCTTCATGATGCACATCCCTTAAAAAGAATGCATGTATTTAATATGAATTTTAGTCTTAACCAATGAAGGTAAAATATGATAAACAAGATCAACAAGGAAAGGCGGCGTTCAATGAACGCAACCCCCATATGACCAAGCAACAAGTACCAATGGCAAGGAGCCCAGGCAGACCCAGTTTGTCATGTAGAAATAAATACTTTTTTAAAAAAACAATTACACATTCATGTTATTTTGAAAAAAGAAATATGTACACAGGGCTCTAGCTAGACCAAAATTTTAGGGAGAAGTGACTTCTCCCTCAGCTCCTATCAGGGAGAAGTTTGACGACATAAGAAGTGAAAAAGTGCTTAGTACATTGATTTGATCTATAAAAAGGAGTTTTACCTATTTATTGATAGTGATATTTGAAGTATAAGTTCTAAAACCCTCTATCATCAGACCATTATAATGTTTTCTTCCTGATTAACTCCACACACCCCCCTCCCTTAAGAAAATATTCATTGTACAACACATACTGGCAAAATTCTCAATGAAAATAAATGTAAACCATACTTTAAGGAATTTTCATTAATAAACTACATTTTAAGTGCTATTGGACACATTTTAACAAAACAAATTTTCCTTTTGGTAACTATTATTTTCATCGTAAAAAATCGGCATCGCGAAAATATGTGACAAATGAAAATTTGTCTGTTTCCTGCAGAAACACTTACAATTCTAGTTGTTGTTGATTTTGATTATATTTAATTAAATATTCAATGATTATTTTTAGATTGTTATTCATCCGCTATTGCAACAGGCATTGTAAAACAAAATTTTCAAATTTGTAGTTTACCGCATAATTTACCGAGGTTTATATGTAACTTTTTGAAGACAAAGTTTATCTACTACTGTTTTTGACTTGTCCAAAATTGGTATAATGTGGGTCAATGTTTTTTAAGTTCTTTAACAAATTTCATTTTTACTATCAAACAGGTACTTGTGCTTCTGTGTGTATTAATTTATATGCAAGTAAATTTACACGGTCTGTGTGAGGTTGCGTGTAATTACTGTCAAATATGGTTTATTTAAAGAGCAATTCCGGGTGTAAGCTTTGTACACTCGCTGATAAAATAGTGGCAGGTGTCGTCAAATTATGCCTAAAAAATGTGATGTTTACATCGGCAAATTTCCGATGCATCTGCATATCAAGCGACTCCATATCATGTCACTTAAATGTGTTAATTGATGTCAATTATCGGCAGTAACTGCATGTGCGTCACCAATTTAGTTTGATTAATGCCCGGAGGCGAGGATTAACTAAATTAACATGCTCTGTATGATATAAATGTACATGTGGTCAGTAAAAAAAATGCGGCGAAATCGTTTTCGCTTTGATGTTCAAACTCGGCGAAGTTCTGACACTTTAGGCGACTAAGTCGCCGAAATCGCCCAGTTGCTAGAGCCCTGGTACATGAATATAGAAATATAGAGTAACATGCAAAAACAACAAAGCCATTGTTTAAAAATTCTTTTCTCATATATGGATTGTATAATATTCTTTGGTTCCCTAAACCACGAGTGTGCCAGCAATATAGGATTATACCATGATAAGCTGCATAGACATATAATTACAAAATAATTATTGAAATTCTTCCAATTCAAGTACATGTTATTTCGAAAATATCATTGTAAATGTAAATGTGTCTTACTCCATTTCCTTGATCTTATGCAGCAGATTCTGTCGGCATAGAAGCCAGTGCTGTTTCAATGATATTTCCAACACGTCTCTCCATTTCTTTTCATGTTTTTATTTCCAATTGTTGGTATATTTAGTGTTGACAACAAATTGTTGACCCTCACCGGCCCACCTACACTATCAATCATTGCTGTAAGAAAATGAAAGAAACAAATTATTTCATTAAAGTACATGTATACAAATATTTTGTCAAAAAAAAACTTCACATGGATTGTAATTTACATAACCATGATAATAACACATTGCATAAATTAATATAGAGCTATTTTTAGCTGCCTCATGTACGTTGAATATTAGTACTACTGTGACTGTGTGTATTGGCAGCCTAGTGTAAACTGTGTCTTTTATATAATGTACATGTAGGATTCTGTAATGTCTTACTAAAAATTGCATTGTTGCAAGATTTAATTTAGCAATGTTTTATCATTTGTTTTTCAAATTTCTCAGTGACTTTGGGGAAATTAAAACAGTTCAGAGGGAAGTTTATAAAACATTTCACAATAGGAAGTGGCTACCCGTACGGCTAGCCAAAAGTTCTAGCCGTACGTGAGTCACGTACGACTAGCCAGGACACACTGTATTGGCTAGCCGTACGGCACTTTTCAAAATTATATGGAGTATGTGAGTCACGTACGGCTAGAACTTTTGGCTAGCCGTACGGCTAGCCACTTCTTTCACAATAAGGAGTAGTGTTTTACAGCTAAACACAAACAAGATACATGTATTCTGTATAATAAATTAATTATTTATAAATCTGAAACATAAATTTGGTCCGCATAATTTTACATGTTTGACATCATTGGAAGACAAGTAAATAAACACTGATAAATCATAATGTATCGATATATTCATTTTGGTACGAGACATTACATCTATGAATTCATTATCAGTATATAGTACTTAATGTAAACTATGATGCAATACATTAATCACTTACCTGTTCCTAATTTTGTGTTGACAACGAACCATGGCATTCCAACTTTCACAGGTCTTTTATCTACTAGAGTCTGTGTGTTTTTCCATAGGGAACACAATTCACATGACCGCATTCTGTGTTTCGACATTTCACATACAAATAACCAAAGGGGTACGGCTCATTGAATGTTCACAAACTATGTATTTGATGGTAGAAAACATTTATCCTAAGTCAGAAATGAATTCTAAGTCCATTCCCATTACACTATATACTAATATATAGACAAGGGTAACAACTCCCATAAGAAGGTGTCTATGCCCAATCAGGGTTTTTGCCTCGCAGTTTTTTACACGATACAGCATAAATAAAAAGGAAGTATGCAATTTGTAGTCGAATGATTTATCTATCGAACCAATGTAAAACTTTTCTTATATCTCTTATACTTGACGAGTACTGGCCGTCAAAGTAACGAAAAACTGTTCATTTTCGCGAGGTCGACATCGATCGTGGCTACGCAGGAAACACAAAGTTACACGACTGTTGCAATCGTTGGAGATAACAAGCATTTATCATGCTGGGCAATTTCCGCGTATTTGTTCCGTTCGCTTTTCAGTATAATTTCTAATAAAATTGACAATAATAGAATGAAACATTCAGGGTATCTTAAGTTTATTTACGGGTCTTTACTTACACGAAAAGAGATTTGGTTTGTTTCTCGTGTTGAAAGATGATGTCTCCCAATTTTTGAAGGGAGTTTGAACCAGAAAAATGGCATTTTTTCTGGTCAATTTCCCGCGCCTCTGTTTTGGAAGCCTCCATCTTGTTTTCCTGTGATGTCATAAGCATGTGACTTTGAAACTCCGCCTCCTCCGGGAAAGGGATGTCATAAAGAAATAACCATCTTTTCGGCGAGGATTCGTAACGTAAAATGGCTGCCATTTACAGTATCAAGTGATTATCCCAAGCACCACCGCGACTTAGCGCGGGAATTTTAATTATAGCTAACCTCGGCGCTACCTTTTTCATATTTTATTGTAATAAATATTTACAAACTGTGTCTTTCGTTTTTTTTATCAATATACAACCAATAATTTAGGTTAATATGAATAAATAATCATATCTCAAATCTTTGACTATGATTTACAATGAAATTCTACCTTAGATCTAAGTGTATTAAAAAGGTTTTTAATTTCCTGTAATTTTATTTTGTGATTATGCTTCAAAGCAGTCAATTGACCGTGAATTTTCTTTTCATATTTTGATTTTCTTGAAATCATTTTTCTCATCTGAAGGCATGCAACTTTAATATGGTGATACGTTAATTAAATTCCATGAAAATGTTTAAAGATATAAAATATTTCATGACATGTTTGTTCATTTTACATTACACCTTTAATTCAGCAAACACAAAGTCTTTACAAAAAGTAGTATGCAATCGTACCTATATTACATACGAATGTATGTAATATTTTTCTTGTTACTTGTTTGTATTGCCTCTTGTACTGTTTTTTCTTGAATGGTTTTATTGTTAAACTTGGCAAATGTTTCTGCCCCCTTCCATCCAGCTGTTTTTGCGATTGTTGTTAGAGGCACCCCATGTAGTCTAGCTGCTGATGTTGAAGCCGCTCTGGTACCATCTGGTACTATTACGTAATTTCTGTCTTAATTAAAATGTGTTTCACCCAACGTGAAATTGTTTGATATGATACTGCTTTGTGTGGTTTTTGAGTGCTGATCAATAATTTTGTTTCAGTGTGTCGTAAAGGGTTTGTCCTGCGAATGTATTCTTCTAAACAATTTTACAATGCAAATGGAAGGTCAATGGCTTCATATCTTTGAAGAACAATGTTCTGAAGGTGATTGCCAGGTTTTGTTTGTTTTAAAATATGGTTTGAATGAATAATGACACTGTCCTCAATGTCATTTAGCTCTAACAGGTGTAATTTTTAACATCTTTGTGCTGTTAAAAGTAAATAAAGATAGATAGTTTTCATGATAATTGGAGAAGAGTTGTGTTCTGTAAACTTAAAATGTATTTGAAGACAATGTCCACATCCCATAGTTTGGTGTATTTTGGCGGACTAGGTCTTTCTGTAAAAATGCCGGTCATGAATCGTTTTATTTAATTGTTGTCACTGAAATTTAAATTGCTGCATATTTTTGTCAAGTTATTAATTATAAATAGCAGCTTTTGCAGTTTGAAATGCAGAGTATTTTAAACCTTGTTTATGCAATGTCAAAAATAATTCTAGAACTGAAATTACAGAGGGTCGAATGGGATCGATACGTCCCCCCACAAAAAGCAAACAATCTTTAATATATGCGTTTTATTGTTTCTTGGTTGAATCTCGCCATGAGTGTATTAAAATGATATTGATTGCATCTACAGGTAGGAACTCCCTGTTTTTTTAAGGGATTGCCTGATAACCTGAAAATACCTAGTCTCATCTTTTTGAGGGGATGAAGTTTGTTTGGTTTGTGTGGTAGGTAAAGAATGTTTTGAGGTT